TATCGTGGCATGTAATTACTATCCCCGTGGCTCACACGTAACAAAAGGCCAGCGCCTCCAAAGGCTGTTACTGTATTGAGTCATATCAAGAATCATCACCTGGAGAAGAAAAGGGAAGAGGGAATTAAGAATGGGCTGAAGAAGAATATGCTGAGAGGAACTAAGGAGAGGGGAAAGGTCATGGATGTCAGCCTTTCACGCAGGAGGTTGAGTAATACTGAATATGTATCTCCTTCACTGGCACACAGGCTGAGAATTAGATTCAAATTTGTCTCATGTTTCCGTTCACGTCTTTGTTTTTTCGTTCTCTCTAAAGAGACCGAGGAACTCTCCCAGCATTTAGAGCCAGTGAGAAGGAAACGGCTGAATTAAGGGCAGCCTGGAAGACAGAGGTCAAAGGGTCAGAGTCACTTGTCACAGCTGATGGCTGAATGTCAGTGTGAATGATTGTTGAACTCTGGACGTGGCCGTGCAGTGGACTGGGGAACTGTCCAGAGTTCCGTCAGCGGCTGCTGTGATTGGCTGCTGTGATTGGCTGCGGCTTCAGCCCAAGATGAATGAAAGAAAATATTTTTTTCCTTTCCCTCAAAAACTATTAATCACCGCCACCTTAAGAGAGAGACACAGAACACAACCAGAGCCAGTTTCACAGGTCACGCAGCCCTGCGCTGACGCCAGCGTGACGATGGCCATTTATGTAGAGTGAACGTAATGACAGGGAGTTACGTTTAAGAAGAGCAGCCATGAAAAAAAGACAGTGATAACAGGCCTTAGCTCAAATGGGCCAAGCTGCCAGGCTATACTGTACTGTTGTATTTGCATATTCTAATGAGCCCGATGTTCAGGGTTAGCTGCCTACACTAATGGTGCGTTTAGTTCTTAATAAATCAGTTAAGGCAGCTCACTGCTGGAGCCCAGGGAGCTGCAGAGTGTGTGTGTGTGTGTGTGTGTATAGGCAATTATGCTGTAATTTAGTGAAAACGCATAAATGGGTGAATAAGTTTGTTTGTGAGCACTCCTCAACTTTCTGTCTCTTAAGCAGTTTTGCTGGAAAAAAAAATATATATACAAGAAATTAAGGTGATGCATTGAAGAGAATATTATATCACCACTGCTGCAGAAGACAGGCGCATCTTTTTTGAATATGGTTAGGATTTTGTCTTTTGAAAATTAATAAGAGGAAAGTATGAAAAAGTGGATAAATTATTTCATATTTTCCAACACCATTTCACACTGTTTTTCTGCCCAGAAATGTCTTTTGCACCAGATTATATTTAGCAGCATGCAGTGAGAACGCAGGTTCCAGTCAAACCGCACTGTGACAAATATTAATATATATTTGTGCCGCAAGTAAAATGGATACATTTGAAGAAAAAAAAAGACTTTAGGGAGGGAAAAATTGATGCCTACCCATGAAAATTCAGTTCCAAGAGTTTCAGGCAACCCACTGCATAATTTAGGGAGGAATTTGAGGGGTTGGAAGAGGAGGGTGAGGGGTTTACTGTGTGTCAGTCAGGATGAGGAGAACACAGAGCTGGTTTGTAGATTCTACATTTAGCATTTAAAGCTGACATCTGGCTGTACCTGTAGGGGTCTGTTATGGTCAGTAGTGTTGGAGCCGTCACACAAATGTCCTAACAGACACAAAGTCATCAGCAGACGACTGACCGCTTCACCCATCTGCTCATCTGAAGGACAATGTGATGGATTGTGGCCTAAAAATGACACTTTTCATCTGACATTAGTGATGATACAAAGGCCATTATCAAACTGCATTTTCTGGCAAGAACATTCCCAACGTCCAGCCTAGAGGTCAATCAGTCCTGGAATAGGATTTGCAGACACACCACTCAGTGTGAACCCTCGGCCTGTTTGGTTGAACTCAGTGCTGATATACCGGCAGGAATTTAGGAAAGACACACAAAGATCAATAGATGTGTCTCTCTTTTATTAGTCTTTATAACCATCTGCTGCCACCTAGTGGAATCATTGTTCTGTCTGTCTCACATAGATTAAAGCAATACAAATATTTTTATTATTTGCAAAAAGATAAAAAATAAAATAATTTTCTTTATTTAAATAATTTTATCGTGGTATACCTGATGATCTGTGATGGTACAGTAGTGTACCACGGCACAACGTTTGAGCATCTCTGCTTTAAAGGCTTATTGGTTGGGAAATATAGTTGTTGATTGGTCCATTTTATTTCTAATATTAATCTCGATGCGACAAGAAATAAAAAAGGGAGTCGCAGTATTCTCATTTATTTTTTAATAGCGTGTTAAATATTTGAACAGAATTTGCTGTTTTAATGTCTCAGTTTTGACAGTGATGTGGTGGCACTTGTTTACCATCTCCTGATAGATTTCGTGGATGTCTTTCCGCACGCTGCTCTCTCACTCATTCTTTCAACTTTTCCCAAACTTGTTCTCTCTTTGGGGCCAACACTTCTGACAGCATCCATTTCTCTTCCTTCACCACATCACCGTCCTCCCATCCATCCTACTGCCCCTTTTTCTTACTCTATTAATTTCTGCTTCCATCTTCCCGTCCATACTTCCTGCTCCTATCTCTTCATCGCACCCTTCATCTTCGCCCCGTCTAGCTGAATCCCTCCCAAGACAATCTGCCAGTGCTGTGCCCGCCGCAGCCCTCCAGGAGTGATCCCGTTACAGGGTTAATGCTGTGAGAAATGACAGTGAACCGGTACTATTACTGCCATCACCACCACTCTGGGGCTGCCTACTGCCTACAGCTCTGTTGCCTGGCAACTCCCTAGACAGCTTCTCTCCAAAAAGTGAGAGTCTCTGTCTGATGTGTTGTGATAAAGAGCCCAGGCTAATATGCAATCTAATATAACATCTCAGTTTGACTAATCGTTAGGTAAAACGAGTGATTTCAAAGGAATCTGAATTTCTGGAGCATCGGTGAAGACGTCTGAAAAGGATCTTAATGATAGGCTAGGAAATAATGCAGCGGTGGAAAGCAGTGAGCTACTCTGACCCCATTACGGCGAGTGAAATGTTCGCAGATGACATTGTAATTTGTAGTGGGAGTAGGCAGCAGGTGAAGAGTGTGGAGGGGAGGAAGAGGCCTGAACTGGAGAGAAGAGGATTTAAGAGTCAGGACGAGCAAGAGAGAGTATATACGAGTGTGAATAAAAGTCAAGAAGCAAAAAAAGTTAGGAAACTATAGGTGAGTAAAAGTACCGGGGGTCATATCAGAAGTGGGTGACAGGAAGGAAACAGCTAAAAATGGAAGGGAAGGCTTATATAGTAGCAGTGAGACCTGCTATGATGACACAAGACAGCAATACCATCCACAGGACAGGAAGCTGGGGCTGGACGTGGCAGAGTCAGAGGCTAAGAGTTTCACTTAAAATCACCAGGAATAAAACTGATTCATTTGAAGTCAGAAAGTTTGGAGATAACGCATGAAGAGTCACAGTCAGTGGGTAGAGTGGAAGAACCTCCAACACCTTTCATGGATGCAGTGAGGTAGCAGCAGAAGAGAAATTAGGTTGAATTTAGGGAAACAAAAAGGTCAAGAAGGACTTCTGCTACTATGGTTAGGCCTAGTTTTACACATAAAATAAATGGCCATCGAAAAAATATACGTGGTGTCTGAAACATCCTGCAGATTTAAGATGCGTTTTTATAGAAAAACTCTAATCACTGATTAACTTCATGTCTGGTCTCTTAGATCAGACACATTGTTTTCACCTCACGTTAACTCAAACCCACTGCTCACATCCCAAAATACCGACACATCTAAGTGACTTGAGCTGCACGGTTGCCATGGGAACCCTCCGACAGGATTAGGAGAGCACTTTGATAGAGTGTGTAAACTGGCTGCCACAGAAGTAATCCTCACTGTTTAATGTGCCACTGTTTAGAGACATGGCTGGGGTTTTTTTTTTTTTTTTTTTTTTTTTTTTGAAGATATTTGGAAGATGGTAGAGAATTTGAGTTTACTGCTGCGACGTCTGCCGTGTTGTCACTTTCTTTAAATGCTTAGTGAGGTGTAGCTGCATCGGTTAGACGTGCAACGTGCTAAAAAAAATGGCTGTTTTACTAGAAACCAGAAATATAGTATATTAATAGTTAAGGCCAGTATGTTACCTATTAGATGAGTCTTGACCTCAGAGCAGCAAAATCCCATTTAAGGGTTAATGCCATAGAGACCAACTAATGTCAAACTAAATCAGTTGACAAAACCTTTTCCATTTCCAGTGACTAGTGAGCTATACAGAAAATGTCACACAGTCGGTTCCACTGAGGAATGTTCTATAAACACCTATCAGTGAGTCAATATTAAAAAAATAATAACAATAATAATAACATTGATTTGTACAGTGCCTTTCAAGATACCCCAGGCGCTAGGCAACCTAGACTGATGAAAATGACTAAGTCCTTTGCAATAACAACGGAAATACCATCACATGAAAAAATCCTGAATTCGCCCAAAGAGTAAAATATTAATGGTTTGGCCACTTGTACAAAAATACTCAGTTTGTGTCTTTAGACCAGGGGTGGGCAAGATTACACCTGAATCATTAAAGAACAACTGAGAAAAATGATTCCGCTCACCTACAGTCAGTCTCACTTTTTACCTGCATTATGGCTTCAAACTAACAAAAAAGTGTGCATCCAGTTTCCGTGCAGTGACGAAGACATAACAGAGAGAGAGGATGAAACAAAGACTGACAAATAAAAAGGAAAAGGTTTTGTTAAGGTCATAAATTAATCAGCATTTTAATTCGTCTATTTTTGGATTCTGGCTTAGCTCTGCTGTTCTGATTAGGGTACGGAAAAAAGTGTGACATCTGTGTGAATCTGACATTACTGCAAAAAAAAAAATTCCAATTATACTTTTTTCATTTAATTAATTTCTTGCTTTTTGCCTTTTTTTTTCCTCCATGTGTTTCTTTAATTTCTGACTTTTTCATGCTCTTTACTCAACTCTCTCTCTCTCTCTCTGTGTGTTTGCCGTGTCACCAGGCGGACCCCCAAGGCAGAGATATATCCATCCGTCCCTTCTTGGAACACTGTGAGAACACCCATATGACCATCTGGCTGGGCATCGTCTACGCCTACAAGGGGCTGCTAATGGTGAGGGGAAAGATGTGGACATGAAGATCGTATTCTGAATGTCTCTGAGAGGCATTAGCAGTAACGCAAACCATTTTGAATGCAGTAAAGTAAAATGTACTCGTATACTCGTGTCATGTCTACAGTTGTTTGGCTGTTTCCTGGCCTGGGAGACCAGGAACGTGAGCATTCCGGCCCTCAACGACAGCAAGTACATTGGGATGAGTGTGTACAACGTGGGCATCATGTGCATCATCGGTGCAGCTGTGTCTTTTCTGACCAGAGACCAACCCAACGTCCAGTTCTGCATCGTAGCCCTAGTGATCATCTTCTGCAGTACCATCACGCTCTGCCTGGTCTTCGTTCCCAAGGTTAGAGTTGGAAAAGATTTTTTTTTTTAATATTTCTCATCAAACCATGCAGTAGAGACTGATCCCTAAAAATATCTCCTCTCCTCTTAGCTCATCACCATGAGAACCAACCCAGATGCAGCCACACAGAACCGCAGGTTAAAGTTCACCCAGAACCAGAAAAAGGAAGATTCTAAGACCTCCACCTCTGTCACCAGTGTCAACCAGGCCAACACTTCTCGGCTGGACGGGCTTCAAACTGACAACCACCGCCTACGTATGAGGATAACGGAGGTCAGTAAAAAAAGTGTTCAATATTTGACACAATAAAACAGTCAGTGTTTTTCAACCTCAGGGTCGCGATCCCATCTAGGGTTGCCTCAAATTCAAATGGGGTTGCCTGAAATAGTCTAGTAATTAATAGAAAATCACTGATTAAAATATTTTTTCAACTTATTATTATTATTTTTAAATTATGATTGAAAACACCACATAATATTAAACAATAAAAAAAATAAATTCAGCATGTGAGCTGGCACGTCTTGACTGACAGCTGCGATCATGTGACTCACTTCACACGTGAAAGCGACTTGGACTATTGTTAGTCGACAGCTTTGACTTTGGTTCGTAGACATAAAGTCTTGGGGAGAGACAGCAAGAGTTCTTTAGTCGAGTCATTTTGCAGAAACACTGTTGTTGTTGTTGTTTAAAGTGGCTTTAATTAAAGCACTTATTTGTGTTTCTTTTGAAAAGTTGGACAAGGAGCTGGAGGAGGTGACGATGCAGCTCCAGGACACACCGGAGAAAACCCCCTACATCAAGCAGAACCATTATCCAGATGCTAACAACATCCTGAGCATACGCAACTTCACGGACGGCAAAGGTGAGAAAATGGATGTTTCCACAAACTCTCTCATCCTGACATGTTGATCCACCGTGACCACTACCAGAATTTAGCACCAGCACCAATACAACTTCAAGGTCAGCAAAACGCCCCCTGTTGGTGGTCCTCCTGAACAACACACAGGGAAAGGACGCTCTGATGGCGGGCGTAGTAAAAAGAGATGCTGTTTGACACCGTGTCTGATTGGGAACGTTTTGTGTGTGTGGGCGTCAGACGCCTCGACGAGCGCTGCATGAGATGAAAATCTATTTTATCAGAGCATTAAAACGCCCCCCCCCAGTCCCCTCATAATGAAACTTCAAGGGCAATTCAGCATCTTTCAAGGGCATTCTGGTCATTTCCTACTCGCTCGACCACCTTTGTGGTGCCTTCATCCCTAATTTGTATGTATGTGTGTGAGAGTGAGAGAGAGAGAGGGAGCGAGAGAGCACTTGAGGTGAACAAAATTGACGGTGACAGGCAGATGGCGTCGTTAGCAATAAGTCATCACACGGTGAATTTTAAAGATGTGTCAGTTCACTTTTCCAGTTTCAGTCTGATTCATGAACACTGGTTACTTTGATTATGAACCCAGAGAGCACATGAACTCAGCTGATCAGCAGCAGTAGTACTACAGCAGTAGTACTACAGTACTGTGGGTTAAACTCTGGAGAAGCAGCTGTTCTCTGTCCACTCTTGGTGCTCAGAGTCTGGTTCTTTGATTTGTTTGTTGAAGTAAGGACGTACAGATGAAGTGTCGAGCGCTTTTTCTCTCTACGTTCGCTGCTTTCTTCTGCTACACATTCTTCTCCGACCCTCTTTTTCTGCGAGGGCGTACAAATAAACACACCCACACACACACACACACACACACAGTCCTATTTTAGGCCTATTTACTGTCATGATGTGAGGTTGCCAAGTGATGGATTCTTCACTGGGATGAATCTGGACTAAAAATGTCTTGTGCTGTGTCTTGTGTTAGTCGGAGCTGCTCAGTGTTGAGACATCAGCGCCAAGATTATTTTAATTAGTAAATAATGACTTACCATCTGTCAGGGTTGGTTTTTTTACCTTTCTATTATTAAGCCCTGATGTTATATCTTTTTTGTGTGTGTGAGTGGATTCAGGGATTTGTCTCACACTCATGTCAATAATAAAGTCCAGCCATATATTTGCTAATAAAGGGACACTTGAAAAAAAGTGCTCCTTTATATAAAGGTGTATAAGTTCCTTTATATACTTTGTCACACGGCTGCAGAACTGAAAAACATCAGCAGACTGAGAGATGTCCTTAACACGCCAGCAATTTCAATTTGATTTTAATTTACATCATTAATTAATTAGATTTGTTATAGTTACAGTTTAATGGTCAATAAATCTGTGATCTGTTGACAAATATGGACAGATTAGAGTCTGGGGAAATACATCTAATACAAAAATTAAATTATATTATTATATTTAAATTGTACTAAAATAAACTGTAGGGGGAGTCGTCAACTAGTGGCTGTTTATGATTATGCTCAGCCTCCATTGGTGAGAAGCGTCGACGGACCTCTCCAGCTCAATCAGACTGTTTTTAATAAATGTGACCTCTTATTAAAGAGACACTTGTGAAGTCCAAAGAATGTAGGTGAGGTGGGAGGTATTAGCAGAGTTAGCTTAGCTCTAGAACTCACTAAAAGTTGACCTAATGCTAACCAGGCCAGATGTTGCAGAGTCTATGCCTGGACTTTGGTCTCAAATGATCATTACATTCTCCATTATTCCGTGGACAGCGTAGGTTAAAGTGGTGGGAGGTTTTGTTGACCTGCACGACCAGACATTTCTCCAAATGTGCTTCAGGTCATTTCTCAGCTGCTGCACATGTGCGACCTGCAGCCGTGGAGTTGGCAGTCAGGTACGACGGCGCTCTTGTCACATCGGTTTTCTTTACGTCTCCTACATGTGTTTTCGATGCAGATGCAGAGAAGTCGATACTGAAGAACCACCTGGAGCAGAAGCCTCAGGCGCAGTGGGGCTCCATGGATCCTTCCAGAATAAACAGAGGTCCCCTGGAGGATATCAACTCCCCTGAACAGTGAGATATCTCCCTTTTCTTCAGCACCACTTTCCCCCCCAACCCCTTCC